TATAATTTGTTGTAAAATAAATTTTGTTTTTCTAATTATATAAAAGTACAACGAGAAAAGTATATAAATGTGTATATAAATAAAATTATTGTAGAGCTTATAAAGCGTGGATAAATATAGATATTGAAAAAAATAATGAGATTAAATGCAGTTTTTGTTATGAAAATTATTGAAGCAACAATGCTATTAAAATAATCTATAAAATTATAATTTTCTAGTAATATATATATATATATATATATATATATATATATTCCAATGTTACTTTATAAACATATATATAAATGTAAATAGGTAAGTAAATATAAAAAATATTTTTATAAACAATTTATTAAACATATTTTTAATAAATTGTAAAATTATCTTATTTTTTAATTAATAATTAATAGGCTATTGTTAACAAACAATAATTTAATAATATTAATAAAAAATATGGTATAATAGAATAATAATAAATTTTAGAAAAGATTATAAAAATACAGAATATTCTTATAACCTTAATTACATATAATTAAACAACATTTTATAAATTGAAATAATAAATAGTATAAAACAATAATCCTGATTTTAAGCATGAAATTCGAAGCAAAAAAATTGTATCATGCTTTTATATATTGTTTTTAGATATTATATATTTGATATTATATACATATTCTACATATCCATATATGTTTATGTCATGTTCAAATATTACATTACAAAAATTAATTATTATAAAGTCATAAAATTTATATTAAATAGAAAATCGATTATTGCATAGCAAAGTTATTTTTATGTAAAAATCACATTTAATTAATATAAAATATATCTATAAGTAACAAAATAATACTGACATATGATTCTATTGAAATAATACTAATATAACCTTATTTGTAAGTTTCAAGGTCTGTATTTATTTTAAACACATGCAGTATAATAGAAATACGTTAATATTCAAGTACGTAATTGTCTAAAGTTGCAATATTCCTTATAAATATTTTGCGCAAAATAATTTAATATATGATTATTAAAAAATGAAAGATAAACATAATGAGTACAAAATAAAAATTATTTCATCTATTCAAATTATATATCAGCAATATTTAATAACTAATTCATAATTGCATTACAGAAATGTCTCAACATCGAATGTCTGATGTCATTGGTATATTTAAAGGAGCTAAGGCAGTAGCTGATGCTATGCTTAAATATCAAGAAGACACAATTACACATTTAATACAGACTTCATCTTTAAAAATTACTGCAGAGAAATGTCTGACAAATAATTTAAAAACATTAAATAATATAGAACCAAGTAAGGTTCCTGTAAGTTTCAAAAATAAATAGAAATCATTTATATATATATCTTCTTAAAAAATATAAACATAATAAATAAAAATATGAATATCTTTAATAATAATTTTTTGTTATATTGTGATTATTAATATAAATTAATTTTGTAAATTAATAGTAATTTAATTGTAATTTATAGATTCAAATAACAAAAGAATTTAAAGAAGTTGTAGAACGATTAAATGTTATTGAAAAGGGTATAATAGAATTTATTAAATTAAAAACTAAAGAAATCACAGGATTATCATCGGATGTTGAGATACCTATAAAAACTAAAAAAACTAAGTTATATATTTATAATCTTGCTAAAGATCCAAAAGAAGTAACAATAGAAATGGATAATTCAAAAATGAAATATAATTCTGAAGATAATTATACAAATCAAGATATACAGAATGAACCTGTGAAAAAATACTTAACTGTAAAAGAAAAAATTGAAACTATTTCCAAATTAGAAAATGAAATACCTAAGATTGTACTTTCTGAAAAAGATAAAGCAATATTGAAGAAATTAGAATTAGAACATGAAAAAAATATAAAAAGTCAAAATATAAAACAAGATGTATCAAATGAATCAAAAATTGATGCTGAAGTTATTAAAATAGAAAATACAAAAATAACTTCAAATAGTCCTCAAGTTAAATTAAAACCATCTGTTAGACCAAAACAAACTGTAAGATTCTTTATATTTTTATATTATACTTAAATAATTATATTAAATTATATAATATATTTTATATATTAGTAAAATTATTTTATATATAAATATTAAATAAGTTTTTATTTTAAAGCTTTCACCTAATGCAAAAGCTCAAAAAGTTCCAGCTACCAGATTACAAAGAATGATGAGCTTTGGAACATTAGGAATTGGTCTTGGTGTTGGAACTGTTGCAGAATATACACGCAGAACATTTGGATTAAAAAAACAAAATCTTGGAAACACATTTGATACTCTTTTTCTTACTAAAGCAAATGCAGAAAGAATAGTTTCTACTTTATGTAAAGTAAGAGGTAAATATTCTGAATATCTTTATTGTATTTTAATAAATTTTAATTAATTGTCAATTAATGATTACATGTTTTACATATATTTATAATAGGTGCTGCTTTAAAAATTGGACAAATTTTAAGCATACAAGATGAAACCATTATAGGCCCTGAATTACAAAAAGTATTTGAACGAGTTAGACAAAGTGCAGATTTCATGCCAACATGGCAAGTTGAAAAAGTATTAAGTACTGAACTTGGACATGATTGGAGAACTAAATTAAATACTTTTGAAGATAGACCATTTGCTGCAGCTTCTATTGGTAATTAATTTTTTTTAATTAAAAATTATATTTTTTTTATTAAAAATATTTTTTTTTCAAAAATGATATAAAAATATTTTAAAAAAAATATTCTTTATGTAAAAAAATATTGTAGGTCAAGTACATCATGGTACCTTGTTAAATGGGCAGGATGTTGCAATTAAAATTCAATATCCTGGTGTAGCTATAGGTATTCAAAGTGATGTTGAAAACTTAATAGGCATAATGAAGGTAAAATTTTTAATTTTGATTTCATTTTAAATTATAAAAAATATATTTAATGAAAAAACTTTTATAGGTTTGGAATATTTTTCCAAAAGGTATGTTTATAGATAATTTAGTAGAAGTTGCAAAACGTGAACTTGCATGGGAAGTGGATTATGTCAGAGAAGCAGAATGTACAAGAAAATATAAACAATTAATAGAACCTTATTCAGATTACTATGTTCCAGCTGTAATTGGTAAATAAATTAAAAATAAATTAAAATGGAATATAAATTAAAAATAAATAGTAGTAATATAAAAATAAATAGTAAAATATTTAGAAGTAATAATTTAATTTACATTTAATTTAGACGAACTATCAACAAGTCAAATTTTTACAACTGAAATGGTAGAAGGAATTCCAGTAGATAAATGTACAGCTATGGATATGGATACAAAGGAACATATCTGTAAATTAATAATGAATTTGTGCCTTAAGGAATTATTTGTTTTTCGATATATGCAAACTGATCCAAATTGGTCTAATTTTCTTTACAATACTAATACAAGACAAGTCTGTATATAAGATATTACTAAGAAGTTAATACATTATTGTTAATACATATTATTAATAAATTTGCAATATTAATTTATAATATTAATACAATTTTTAGTTAATATTATTAGATTTTGGTGCGTGTCGAGATTATGAGAAATCATTTATGGATAAATATATTGAAGTAATTTATGCTGCAAGTGAAGGCGATCGTAAAAAAATTTTAAATTTATCTAGAGACATGGGATTTCTTACAGGATATGAATCTAAAGTATAACATAATATTTTCTAGCAAATTCAAAATTATTAGAAGATTATTAAATCGATATTTATTTATTTATTATATTATATTAATTTCAGCTTATGGAAGAAGCTCATGTAGATGCAGTAATGGTTTTGGGACAAGTATTTAATAAAAATTATAAATACTATGACTTTGGTGGACAAGATGTAACTAAAAGGTAAGATTAGTTTATTATTAAAATAAAAAGTTATAAAATTAATGTATATATATATATTGATTGCAGAATTCAGACATTAGTTCCAACAATAATAGATCACAGGTTATGCCCTCCACCTGAAGAAATTTATAGTTTACATAGAAAATTATCAGGAATTTTTTTACTATGTGCCAAACTTCAAGTTAAAATAAATTGTCGTGATATGTTTCGTGAAGTTTATGCAAATTATAAATTTGGATAATATTATCATTATATAAATTATAATTATAATGATAAATTATATAATTATAAATTAATATTATATTTATATTTTATACATAATTAATTAAATATAACATAATTTCAATTAATGTATTATTTTATTTATATAATGAATATTAAATTATTTATAAATACTAAAAATAATTATTTTTAATATAATTATTGTATAATAATAATTATAATAAAATATAATAATTAAATTATATTTTTAATATAATATATATAGATAATGTCAAGATAATGTATATTTTTTTATTTTCAACTTATATCTCGACAGCTTTTGTTTAAATAAAATCTGTTTAATTAGAATATATTTTTATTTACAAATATCGAAGATATAATCAACATTAATAATGAAGAGATCTTAACCTATTTATTCGTTAGTTTCAATTAATAATCTTCACAAAATTTTACGAACCAATTGATAAAATGTCTAATAAATTTTTATACTTTGCATATGGAAGCAATATGTTAATGAAAAGAATACATATTAATAATCCAACTGCAATACGAAAAGATATTGGTTTTTTAAAGGTAAATATAAATAGCTTGAAAAAATTTTTGGGTTATTAATTTGTAATACTTTATAATATTTTATTATTTATTTTAGTCTAAATATATTTTATTTTAATATTTGACATTGTCTTCTGTGTCTGTATTTTTATTATAAATTATTATATTTTATGCAAATATTGAATTATATCAGAATTTCAGATTAGATTTTTTAACACATTCAAAAAGATGGGGTGGATGCTCAGCAACAATTGTACCCACGAAAGATTATATTGTATGGGGAGCAATTTGGGAATTAGATGAATGTAATATGTGTACTTTAGACAATCAAGAAGGTGTTGCAGATAAATTATACTTTCCATTAATAGTTGATATAGAAACAGTTACTGGTAAAATATTAAAATGCAGAGTGTACCAACAATGCAAAAATCCAGATGAACATATAAAATTACATTTACTACCAATACACAGAAGACCTTCACCTTTATATTTGTATGTTATATTTAATTCTATAATTTATTAGCATTTATTACATAATTATTAATTAATTTTTTTTATAGAGAAACAATAATAAAAGGTGCATATGAAAGTCATTTACCACATGATTATATTAAATTCTTAGAAACAATACCACCTAATGGATATATGGGAGAATATGATATTGGGTAAGAATAATTGTTTATTATTAAATTGATTTCCATTATTTTTTTTATTATTTTTTATTACTTATATATTATATATTATTTATATTAATATAAATATATTTCAATCATTTTAGTAATATATAAATAAAATATTATAATTATTTTCAATATATATACATTTTTTTTATATTTTAATATTTTATCTTTAATACAATAAGTTCATTTAATAAAAAATTATATTATTATTATGCTGTTACTATCTCTGCACATTTTTTTGTTAAAATTAATATTTCTGGATCACAGACTTCCTTTACAAGAAGTTTAGATTCAAGAATCTTATGATTCTTTAAATGTTTCTGGACAAGAGGATCATTCTCTATTAAGTTAAGAGCTGACTCAAGTGATAATTTATCTATTTCATATTTGAATATTTTAATTGTTGTATACAATACACCATTTATCTGATAATATATAAAATATTACAATTAATGATATATTTATATAAAAAATTTAGAGTTTTAGAAATTGTTCTCAATTTTTATAAAATATAATTGTTATATAATTGTATCATAAATAATATAATGTAAATTCATATATGATATAATAAAATAAAAATATAAATGCTTTAAATATTTTAAATTTACCTTGACTGATAATTTCATTTTATAATTCATATCTATTTCTGGCCATTTTTGTTCTAGAACATCTCTATCTAATTTTATTTCATCTTCATTTATAAGATGATATTTTGCCGCAGAAAATGCTGACCATAATTCTGAAGCGAAATGTGGTGCAAATGGTGCAAGCATTATAATTTGAACTGCTAATGCACGTTCATATTCGCGACTTTTTTTCATACATTCCACAGATACCTTACGCAAACTTAATTAAATTATATTAAAAATTAAAAGCTTAATATTAATTAAAATTTCTGAAATTATTATAACTCTTAATAAAACATAAAAATACAATGTATACCTATTTGTAAGTCCTTGCATTCTTGATATTGCAATACTTAATTGTTGAGTTTCAATTATATTAAAAGTTACACTTTTTAAGAAATAATTTCGGCTATCAAACATATATGCATCATGTTCTATAAATTTAGGATCAACAGGTTCTGCCTGAAATTGCTTTAAACTTACTCTATTACGATAATCTATAAAAGTTTTTACTGTCTTCCATAAGCGATTTTGCCAATTTAATATTCCTGGCATGGCTATATTTTATAGATGTAAATATTATTTGATATGTAATAATTAATGCAAATATTTATTATAAAACAAACTTACTATTATCATTGCAATACTTATCCGAGATTGGTGCTTGATCAGCTAATATAAATAGCCTCGTCGTATCGATTCCATATTTATCTATAAATTTAAGAGGATCAATGCCATTATGCTTTGATTTAGACATTTTTTCCCATGAAACAGTGACTGGTTCTTTAGTATTCTTTTCTACATATTGTCCCTTATTTTCTTCTACTTCATCTGCTTTTAAATATTTTTTTGTACTTTTTACTTGATACGTTTTTCCTAGTACCATACCCTGAACAAGTAATCGTTGAAATGGTTCTCGACTAGGTAAAAGTCCTTCTGAATGTAAGAAATGACTTATAAATCTAGCATAATATAAATGCAATACAGCTGAAATTATATATTAATTTTTAAATATTATTATTTTAAATATTATTTATAAAAATTTAAATATAAAAAAATTAAATATACCATGTTCTTTTCCACCCACATATAGATTAACAGGAAATATTTCTTTTACTTTATCAACGGCAAACATTTCATTCATATTTTTTGAATCAATATATCTCAAATAATACCATGAACTATCTACAAATGTGTCCATTGTATCTGATTCTCTAGTTGCTTGAATTCCACATTTAGGACAAGAAGTATTTAACCAATCCTTAATTTCATGTAATATAATTTTTTTATTGAAGATGTTTTATTTGAAAATGTTATACTTGGTAAAAGTACAGGAAGTTCATTATAAGGTACTGGTTGAATACCACAATTTGAACAATAAATAATTGGTATTGGTGTACCCCAATATCTTTGTCTAGATATTAACCAATCTTGCAATCTTGAACTAACAGGATATCCACCAATTTTCCACTTTTGTGCTTTGGATAATATATCTGATCTTTCACATTTTATTGAATGTCGTTGAAATTCAATTCCAACTATTTCAGAAAATTGAAAATCATCCATTGAAGCAGAGGGTATACCAATATAAGTATCTCTAAAATTTGGAAATATTACTTTATCTGTTACGAATATTGGTAATTCATTTCCATTGAATGGATTTACTACTTTGATATTCATAATTTTAATTCCTTCTGTCACATCTGTACAGTATTCTGATCTATTTAATATACTGCGTGGAGATATTGCAACAAATTTTGCATATTCAATAAATTCTGGATAATTAGTCCAAACATTTATTGTTTTTGGATAATTTGGAATATTTCCTATCAATTGTAATTCAAAACTAATACCATTACATTTACCAATCCAATTTTTTTGAATTGTTTTAATATCTCTCCATTCTATTAATTTTGGATCACTTAAACCTTCAAACAATGACCTAATTACAAATAAATGTAATCTAAATTATACACACAATTATATATACAATTATTATAATTTATTATTTTTAATCCTTATTATATTACATTTTAAAAATTTATTTCAGTTTTTATGTACTTACTTAGCAAATGATGTAGTCCTAATAAACCATTGATTTAATAATCTTTTTTCTATTTTAACACCTGATCTCCAAGAGCAATTATTAGCATCAACTTGTTCTTCTGCTAATACAGTTTCATCAATAGGATCCCAATTAACAAATGATTCCTTCTATAAACCAAACCTTTTTCAAAAAGTTTTAAAAATAATTCTTGCGTAAATTTATAATATTCAGGATCACACGTAGTAATTTCTCTATCCCAATCAAAAGAATAATTTAATGATTTTAATTGATTTCTCATGTGTTTAATATTGTTATATGTCCATACAATTGGATTAATTTGTTTTTCAATAGCAGCATTTTCAGCAGGTAATCCAAATGCATCCCAACCAATTGGATGAAGAACATTATATCCTAAAATAAGAAAAGAATAATATTCTTTCAGATATCAAATAAAAGATAATAAAATATTTGTAAATTAAAAAATTTCATTCTATAAATCAAACCTTTCATTCTATAAAAATGAGCAATAGTATCACTTATCGTATAAACTCTTACATGACCCATATGAAGCATTCCAGAAGGATATGGAAACATTGATAAAATATAAAATTTTTTTTTTATTATTTGTATCATCATAATTTTTATTTAAATTAATTTTGTCTTTCCAATATATTTCTATTCCTTTTTTATTACATCTGTGACTTCTATACTCTAGAAAAATAAATAATAATAGTACATATTATTACAATAATAAATGTAGTAATACATTATTATATGTAATAATACATTATATTATACATTATATTTCATACATATACATAAATTATGTTAATAATATAAATTTTTAGCTCTTAAATTTATTTTACTTATTTCTTAAATATGTACCGAAAATTTATTTATACCAGTCGAAGCATATCGAATGACACTTTTAAAAAACGTATTATTCTTATAATATAATATAGATTCTCTAATCTTCATTTTTAAATATTTTTTAAATTATTATTATTTAATGTTTATTTAAGAATTCTGAAATTAAAACATTTAACTTATATAGTTATCTAGAAAGTTGCCATATTTATTATTTATGTTAAAGAAACTATATTATATATTATTATTATTTTAGTAAAACTATTTGATTTTGAAGTCTGATTTTCAATAAATAATGTTTTGATAATATAATTTTATTGTTCTTCATTTCAGTTTAAATTCCAATTGATTCCAAATACTATTTTCTGAAAAACTAAAACTTCCGTTAGATGCCATTGATTCCTTTTCCGGTGTGTGTCTTATAAACAAGTTCGTAAGTAATCTTTTAAATTTGAAATCCAATTAAAAATGTAACATCTTAAAGTAATATTTTATAACATAATAGAAAATCATTATTATTTATGTTTTGAAATGTAATTAAACAATATGATTGTAATTTTTTTTGAATAAATAAAGAAATTTTATGACATTAATTAGGTTAACTTTTTTTCATATGTATTTAATTTATAATTAATAAAATATTTATTTTAATAGAAAAATATATAATTATAAAAGTATTATAAAATAGTATTAAAATTATAAAAATTTTTATTTATAAAAGAAATTCAATGTTTTGTTTACATTTTAATTATAATAGTAATATTTCTAATTTAATGTATATATTTTTCAAATTTAATAAATATCTTTAAATCTTTAAATTAAAAAAATTGTTATATTGAAAATAAATATATTTCTGTTTTAGTTCAATCATGGGTAAAAGAAACAATATGATTCCTAATGGACATTTTCATAAAGATTGGCAAAGATTTGTCAAGACATGGTTCAATCAACCTGCCAGAAAATATCGTCGTAAACAAAATCGTGTAAAAAAAGCTCGTACTGTCGCACCAAGGTAAATAAAAAACAATCAATTTATTTTTATTTTTTAATTTTTAAATTTATATTTTATATGAATTATATTCCATATTTTAACTAATATATTAATATATATTAATTTATTAATTTTAATAATTTAATATTTTTTTAAAATTTTAAGACCTGTAAAGCTTTTAAGACCTGTTGTTCATTGTCCAACATTCCGTTATCATACAAAAGTTAGAGCAGGTAAAGGTTTTACATTAGAAGAATTAAAAGCTAGTGGTTTAAATAAAAGATTTGCTAGGACTATTGGAATTGCAGTAGATCCTAGAAGACGTAACAAATCAGTTGAATCTTTGCAAACAAATGCTCAAAGATTGAAAGAATATAAATCAAAATTGATTCTCTTCCCATTAAATGAAAAGAAAGTAAGTAAATAAGATAGAAAATTAAAAAATATAAAAAGCAAATTTTAAATTAATATTATTTATAATAAAAGCCTAAAAAGGGTGATGCTAGTGAGGAGGAGATGAAACTTGCTACTCAAGTTAAAGGAGAAATCATGCCAGTACGACACCAACCACCAGCTAAAGCTAAAGCACGTGTCATTTCCGAAGAAGAAAGAAAATTCTCTGCATATGTAACTCTCCGTAAAGCTAGAGCTGATGCTAGATTAGTAGGAATTCGTGCGAAACGTGTAAAAGATGCAGCAGAAAATCCAGATGATGTTACTAAAGTTGGTAAAGATAAGAAGGCTAAAAAATAATATGAAATTTAATGTCTTTGTATTATAAAAATAATTATAAAAAATAAATTGTCTAATGAAAAATAATTTTTATTTATTATTTTTCTATATTATACATTTTGATGAAAATCAAAATTTCAATGTTATTTGCTTATAATGCAACATGATAAGAATATAAACTATAATATTTACTTTTTTCTTTTTTTATTGCTAAGAATATTTTAATAAACTAAGCATGTATGTATATAGAATATTTTTTGTATGAATATTGGTAACACTGTTTATTCCATTTTATAACTAGATTTAAATTTTGAATATTACTGCAGAGTAACGGTTTAAAGTTTGTGAAGTTATATCTATTAAGAGATATATACAAGTTTCAAACAAAGAATTAATTTTAACAAAACAAAAATAGATTTATAAAAAGAAAAAGAAAATGAAGTCTGTGTAAGTCTTATTACTTTTTTTATTTTAAACAAAAATATATGAAGTTTCTTTATTATTAATATTTTGTTATTATATTTCACTCGTATAAATTTATATAAATTTTTAACCTTCAATATCTAACTTTTTAATATTGATTATTTATATATAATATATATGAATTTAAAAATATATATGAGATATTAATATTTTAGACGCGTGAAACCACCAGGTTCAGCTCGTAAGCCAACAAATCGTCCAAGGGGCAATAATATATTATCTAAGGATCCAGTGCAAGTTTATTGTCGTTTAAGGCCAATGCAATATCCTACTGATATATCATGTATGAAAGTTACATCTGATACAACAGTGGTTATTACACCTCCAGAATCAGCAACAAATTTTCGTAATTCTAGCAATAAAGAAATTCAAACAACATTTAGTCATGTGTTTACACCAGATGCAACACAAAAAGATGTTTTTAATATAGTTGCCCTTCCATTAGTTGAAAATGTTATTCGTGGTAGAAATAGTCTTTTATTTACATATGGTGTAACAGGAAGTGGTAAAACCTATACTATGACTGGCGAATCACAAGATGCAGGAATAATGCCACGATGTCTTGATGTTATTTTTAATAGTATTGCTAATTATCAAACAAAAAAATTTATTTTTAAACCAGATAAGTTAAATGGTTTTGATATACAAAATGAAGCTGATGCAATGCTTGACAGACAAAATGAACTTCATGCTGGGCTTATGTCACAAAGAAATGGAAAATCAGGCAAATTGTAAGTATAGATAATATACTTAAGGTATTACTTATAATAATATACTTAAGATAAACATTTTTATTAAAAATTTTTATTAATGTTTTTTTATAGGCGTAAAGTAGAAAGTGATGGTGATAGTAATCCAATAATTCATGATATTGAGGAATCAGAGACAATACAAGTAGATCAAGATAATGTTTATGCTGTATTTGTTACTTATGTTGAAATTTATAATAATAGTGTATATGATTTACTAGAAGATGAAGATATTAGAACTAAGTATAATAATATATATTCATTTTTAATTTTATTATATTTGATTTCAAGTAATATTATAATGCTAAAAGATAATTTTTAGAACATTACAGAGTAAAATAGTTAGAGAAGATGGAAATAAGAATATGTATGTACATGCTGTAACAGAAATTGAAGTAAAAAGTTCAGATGAAGCATTTGAAATATTTCAGCGTGGTCAGCGAAGACGAAGAGTTGCTCATACTGCACTTAATGCAGAATCAAGTAGATCACATAGTGTTTTCACTATTCGTCTTGTTCAAGTAAAATTTTTAATTATGTTTCTTTTATATAATTAATATTTACAAATAATAATAGATTTCTTTATAGGCACCTTTAGACTGTGAAGGTGAACAAGTTATACAGGATAAACGAGTGGTATGTATTACCCAATTATCATTAGTGGATTTAGCTGGTAGTGAAAGAACTAATAGGACCAAAAATACAGGACAACGATTGAGAGAAGCAGGTAATTATATTTCAAATATGAATCTTATAATTAAATATTCATTATATGTTTAAATATTTAATATGTTTTTATAATTATTTTTATAATTATTTTCATTTGTTTTAATTTAGGGAATATTAATAATTCCTTGATGACGCTACGATCGTGTTTAGAAATTTTAAGAGAGAATCAACTTCAAAGCACAAATAAAATGGTACCCTATAGAGATTCAAAACTTACTCATTTATTTAAAAATTACTTTGATGGAGAAGGACAAGTTAGAATGATTGTCTGTGTTAATCCAAGAACAGATGATTATGATGAAACAATTGTAAGAAGGAAAGCAATAATATGAAATATAAATATATAAATCAAAATAAATAAATTTATTCATATTTTAGCAAGTAATGAAATTTGCGGAAATGACACAAGAAGTTCAAGTAGCTAGACCAACAGTTGCGAAAATAGATTTTGGTTTTACACCTGGAAGAAGACAGGCAAATAAAGTAAAATAAATAATAAAAGAATAGAAATATAATTAAATTTATATAATATATAATTTAAATTTTTAATAGTTGTTTAAGGAGGCACGTAGTAAATTGCAAAAAGAAGGACGTCTTGAAGCTGCTGATTTAGAAATTGATGTTGGTTTAGTATATAGGTAAGCATTATATATCTTTTTTTTTTCTTTTTACTTACTTAATTTTATTTTAATTCAGTTTGGGCGGTCCATTTCCTGAATTGGAAATTAGTTCTCCACGTAATGATCAAATCATTACTAATTTAATGCATTTTTTGGAACAGCGCATTAATAAACGGAATATATTACGAACTGATTTACAACAAAAACGTAAGAATATATCTATCTTTTAATGAAGTTTAAAATATGTATAATTTTTATTTGGTTGCATTTGCAGAAAATGATCTTAGAAAAATGTTAATGACAATGGAACAAGATCACATGAATTTAAAGATTGAAAATGCATCTTTAAAAGCAGCCAATTCACAACAAAATAAAAAGGTAAGAATATTTTTTTGATTATGGAAAGCACACAAAAAAAATTTATATTTGCTTTTAGATTTCTGCATTAGAAGGTCATTTATGTAAAACTGAAGAACAAATTGATAGTTTGCTTCGAAAATTAAATCATGCAAATGACACAATACGTAGTTTACAACATGAGGTAATTAATGAATGTATTTTTCTTTTCTGCGTAAATGATTACATATTTTATAATTAATTTCAATATTTTGCAGTTGAAAGATAGAAATATGGCATTAAATCAACGTTTAATAGATAAACAAAGAGTAAAACAAAAATACAATACTAAAATGCAAGTAGAAACTGATAAAATGAATAAGGAATTGGAAATAAAATTACGTCAACAACGTGAACAATTACAGGTATTAAAATAAAAGAAATGAATATATAAATTCATTAATATCATCAACATATTATATTAATTTCATTTTGTTAAAAATTTATGTTTAAATTTTTTTTGTTTAGAATCAAATGAAAGAAAAAGATGATAAATTAAGATTGGTAAAACAAATCTTAATTGATGATAATGGTATTAATTCTGTACCTAGCATTTCCAAAGATTATACGACTCCTACTTCTAATTATATACAAACAACAAAAGGAACAGATTGTCGATCACGAAGAGTTAGTTTTTTCTATTTTATATAAATGTAATTTTTTAAATATATATTTTAAATATGTTTTAACAGGATAAAACAGCTACAGCAAATTTAAGATATAGACGTTCACAAAGCGCTGATAGATGGGTTGATCATAGACCAGGAGCACTTGTTCCTATAGGAACTGTTCTTCAACCTTTAATGCATAGAAGACGTAGCGTTACACGACTTACTGATCCAAAAGAAATTACAGATGGTGTATCCAGATATTGTCTTGTTGCGCAAGAACACGATACAGATGGTGAACTTGAGACAAAATTATTCAAGGTAATTTTATTCTGAATGAATCCAAAAAAAATTTATATTATTATATGATATTATAAAATATAATATTATGATGCTAGGGCGATATAATACCTACTAGTGGGGGAGGTGCACAAGTTATATTCAATGATATGGAATGTTTAAAACAATTATCTCCAAAGGCAAGAAAACGTAGCGGTCCACAAGATATAGAAAATATAAATGAAATAGGTTCCCCAAATCATTCATCTACTCTTAAAGAATCCCATTCCAAACGACCACGAGTTGTAAATTAATATAATTGTTAAGAATAATGAAATCAACATACTTTTACAGTATTACATTTTATCAATTTTATAATTTATTGAATAAATTCATCAAATAAAAAGATGAGTTGTAAGATGCGATGTAATATTGTATATATAAAATTTTACATCACAAACATGTAATCGCAATCTTGTAGAATATTATACTTTATAATTTTAAACACAAAATTTGTAAATAAATAAAATTTAGATTACATGATATTAAAATATGGATTACGCATAAAATATAAATTTTGAAATAATTTACAATGAATTTTATGTGTAATATGTAATATCAAACAATAAAATTTTAGAATTTATAAGTAAATAATAATGTATTGATAAACAGTTTGATTATATTCAATTTTTATATACAATTATTTATATACAACATATATTAATAAAATTCTATGCATTGTATACTGCAGATAAATCTTGTAAAATCTCACAGAAATATATCTTTGTAATCTTCATTAAATCTATACTTGTAATCGTTGTCTTCGTAAATGATTATCTAATTTTGCTAACTGATTAAGAAAACCATTATTTGGTTGAATGAAACGATTTTTACGGACTGTACGAATTGCATCTGTTGCTAACATTTCTTTTTTAATCATTAAGTATGCTAATACACATGTTGCACTACGTGAAATTCCTAACATACAATGAACAAACACTTTACCTATAATAAGGAGAAATTCAATTTAGATAATGTATTTTAAAATATTATCATATAATACTTCCTTTTTTTTATTAAATTGTTGCAAAATTACCTCCAGAAGAAATAGCTTCATCAATAAATTCTGCAATAGTGAAAAAATATTTGCTAATGTCTGTACTGCATAAATCAATAAGTGGTAAACCAAGATATTTTATTGTTGTATCAGAATAATAATTCTTATTAGTGTTTACAAATCCGAATCTTTTTCCTTCAGCAGCATTAAGCAAATGTGTAACACCCAACATTTCAAGATATTTTTTATTTTTTGCTGTTACACTATAAAAAAAATGCAAATTAAGATTTGATAAAAATGAAAAATATAATATTTATAATACTTACGCATCACCAATATATATTCTTGGATATACTTCATCACAATCAATATCTTGTTGAATACGATAATATTCAACATCATCTCGATTAGAATCAAATCCTGGTAGCATTTTATTTTCAGTTTGTGTTCTATACAAAACTTCTGTTAATTGACTTTGGGTGGTTTCTCCATCAGATAAATATTTCTCAAAGTTCTTAAAATAGACATTTTTATTATAAGTAATAATAATTTTGGAATAATATAAATTTTTTTAATAGTTTGATTTAAATAATTATAAGTATTCAATTTAAGTACAATTTAAAAAAACTTTACATTCTTTATTTTTATATATTATTTATTTTAAGACAAAATATTAAAATGAAATAAAATTTCTTACATCAAAAAATACAATTCAATTCTTTTTTTACAATACTCACATTTCTCAGATTAGTTTCCATTTGGAAAGGTTAGCTAAAAATTAATATTTATAAGTTAAATTAAATAAATAAAAGAAAATAATAGAATAACATAAAAAATTTTATACTTTTATTTTGGCGAAAATGATTATAACTAATTTTATCTTATTTATATATAAATATAATGATATATATATCAAGCGCTTATATATAAAAATCACGATAATTATATACTTAAACTTATATTATATTGTACATATATTTTTTCTTGCATAATGATTTTAAACAGTAAAGAAAAAATATGATATATAATATATAAAGATATATATAAATTTTATATTTCAAATGTTTAATATATTTTTTTAAGATAATTTAAAATTTTAGTGCAAATTAAATATTTATTATTTTAATATATATATATATATAT